GACCCCCATGGTGTACAGGCATTGTGGGTTTTCACATCAGTAACCTCAGTCTCTTTATTGACCTTTTCATATTTATCTGTTACTTTGAAGCTACTGACAGTCACGTGTCATCAGAAACCCAAGATCACAATTAAACGAGGTACTTAGCATGCCAAAAGCTCATAAAAGCGTGCGTTGATGCGGCTAAGGGCGTCTGGGGCGGCTGTCCTCTTCGTTAGGACGCGCGAACACCACTTACGCAGCTGGGTCCTTTAAACGAATATTCACATTCATACAATGCCTTCATGGCCGGGGATCAGGCATGTTCAAGGGCCGGTCCGCTCTACATCCGCACATGGTGGCCACTGTACTTCACGCCACAGCTCTATGTCAGCAACACCTTTTGGGCTGCTTGGCCCTCCTTTCTCCTCATCTCTCACTCGTTGTGAGATGTTACGTCAACCCCGCGGGGACAGGTATCGACTCAGACCATACCACATGCCTGCCTGTCTGACCGGGCGGTCTCGACCCGTTCGGGTTGTGACAACGCATCACTGCATATGCAACGCGAGAACCCTGGGCGAGCCCGTCTACAGTAGGCTAACGTCGAGGCTTCTGTCGCGTCGCATGTCCAGAAGAAGAAAGCTCAGGATGCCATGCACCGGGAGAGCCCCGGTGGCGCACTACTGGCCCATTGTGCCGTCCTGCAGGTGCCATCTGCGCAACATTCTTCAGTCGTTCCGTTGCGAAGCGAAGAGAAGAGAAGAGGGTTCCGAACAGGAACAGGTTTGACGACACCGTCTCGTACGCATTCCGCATATCAGGGATCCCTGCACTAACCGCATCGGTTGTCTGCAAGCTGGGTGCCAAAGCATTAGTGGGCTTGTGCCTTTCTGAAGAGCGGGGATCGAAATACTCTAGGTACCAGTAGAGGGATATGGACTCCCCGATCCAGGGCTCCGGGACTAGTGTTGATCTTCATGCCACGGACACAGGTTCCGAGTTTCCTGGTCCCTGGTTTGCTGCATCGCTTGGGGGAAGCATGCGTGCTGGTTGACAACTGATCAAGACCATGCCGGGTACAAGCAACTGCCGTTAAGCACTGGAGAAGACAACAAAACGGGAGAAAACACGTCAGCAGCTGACCCCTGGTGATCTTCGAGCTGCTGAGGTGACCGGTGAAGTCTATCGTCTGTCGTATTGCGCTTCGAGATGCACGTCGCCGGTGATTCATCATCTTAGCCAAAAGCCGATCTCCCCAGCACTGACTTCTCAGTGTTCGCGGAGCTCCGAGAATCCTGCAGCCGTCGCTGGTCAAGGGAGTTCAGCCTGAGCTTGAGATCGTTATGCGATGTTTGTTGCTGATCAGACTCAGGACAAGGTCCGGCAGATATGCCGGACGGTAAGGCGCACCATCTTACTCCTCTGCTTGCGATCCACCCGTTTGCAGAACAAACTGCGGTGCACTGCCATCTGAAGCAGCGAGGGCTGGAAATATCGCCAAACGCCGCAAATATGACGGGCAACAGCAAGCCGATGCGCCAGCCCAGTGGCACCTACAAAGCAGGCATTCTTGGCTCTTCAGGCGGCTGCCACGCAGCGATGCATGTCGTGGCTTCGGGAGTCTTACCCTTTCGAGACGGTTGTAATGCCCACCATACGGGCGGTCATCCGTCTGGGTGCCAGGAAATAAAGCCGCAAAACAAAGGAAACAGAGGAAGAGTAGCAGTATGTCGTAGCAACGCAAGGCTGTTGGCTTAATCATGAAGCTTGATATGGCCGAGATGGGTCTACTCGCGACTATATTCAAAGGCTCATGCTTGCAATGCAATACGGCATGAGTATAACTTGCTGTATTATGTATGTTCGCGCACGCCACCAGAACCGCGGGCACAATTACCTGGTTCTCGGGTTTCTCATTAACCAAACGTCATCCACCATGTAGACCACGCGCAAGCTGGGACCAGTCGATTTCGTTGGGTGATATAGCATGCGGGCTGTCAGCGAGATGTGAGAAATGACCTTGGGCCCCCCACTGTGTATCACTTGCAATGTGCTGTGAGACGCCTAGGACGATGAGATTGTTGTCTCTCGACCTGTGCAAGGATTCAATTTATCCGGGCTTCACAGTCTGGCACACGCTCAGTTGGTGGGTGGCGAGCCAAGAAGCTTCCTGGACGAAGAACGCAGGCATCATTCATCCAGGTAATGATGGTAGCCGACTGGGGTCAGGCAGAAGTGAGGTACACCAAAAAGGCAGGGGAGGTCTGTCTCGTGGCGATGATCATCGGCCATCGGCCATTTCAGCATCGATCAGCTGCACCCTGTCTGGTTCTATTTTGCGTCATATTTTGTGATGCACTCAAAGTGACATTGGCGTTACATTGTCGATGACCCGTTAGCCCAGAGATTCTAGTAATCTTTATCAAGCACTGTGAGTAGCCAGGGCAAGATGTGTCACTCTCGAGGCACATCGAATGTCGCTCGTCCCTCCAGGATTGCCCCCCGCACGGCGGTGTACTGTCTTCGGATTAATCTGTCGGAGCTTTCTTGCCATCAAAGCTGTCAAATGTGTCAAAGCGGCTGCAAGCGGGTGTGCCTTGCCTTGCCATAGCCTTCTCCGATCTACGGGAGCTTGGGGAGCTGGTGGCATTGGAGTAGCCTGCATCCCGGACGCAGCGCAGCTCCACCCGCTCAAGCCGCTACAAGGAGCAAGCAGCAAAGCTCGGCGGCAGAAATACATGTAAAGACTGGCGTCAGCATATACGGAGCACAGGGAGCCAGGGAGGGGTCAGCTCCAGTGGCGCCCTCGAGTCATCGCCAAAGGACTCGGCGTGTGCATGAATGCAATCATGTCGAGCTTGCAGAAGGATTGCGAGGTTGCCAAGCTCAATCACAATCAGCTGATCAGGCCCATCCACGATTCCAGATGATCGGGGGCGATGATACACTCACCGCTGCAACGCTGCTATGCGATCCCATCTGCCTTTGGCTAGATCCTCCCGTATGCAACATGATCTGCCCGGTCGAGATTGCATGAGGCGAAGGTAACCAAAGACAGGCGAAACAATCGCGATCTCTCCACCCGAGGTCCAGAACGGCGTTGACCAATTATCTCCCCATTGTGATAGCTGACTGACATGGGTACGCGGCAGGGCAGGGCAAAATGCACCGAAGATAATCACAAAAGCGTTGCGACTTGCCACAGGGGCCCTTGTCGTCAAGGGCCAGCACCCTGCTTGCTTCCTTCTCACTGACCTTAAGGGGCCCATCCCACTGATTCGCAGCGAAGCTGATGAGTGCACTTATTGTGCACGGCGAGCCCCCTTCCCATGTCCCACGAGCCGGAACCACTGGGCTTCTTCACCGTGGCGTCATGTTCAAGCCATCGCGCTTTTTACCATATTTATCTGGACAATTTTGCCAAAGGCTTATGGGAGAGAGCAAGATGAATACGCCAAGTGTCTCGGATCGAGTGCTTTTGTCTTCCCGATGACCCTCGATTGCCTTATGACGGAGATAGCTCAAGCCTGTGACTATGATCAGCAAGCTTACGGATTAAAGCCGGCAGGGCAGGAAGTGGAAGAGGCGTGGCACACAACCACCAGATCAGAGGGATTTAGCATCCACGCATCCATCACCAGTTCTCTAAGCTCAGTGCGGTATAGCGTGGTCCCATGTACTCGGTATCCAATCGAGGGTATCTGTGAGATAATCGCCCCCTGTCCCATCAGTAGTATCTACCAACATGTAATCACAATTACCATCATGGCCAACGCCAACGCCAAAGCAAAAACTTCAAGGGCTGAAGCGATCAAGGGCCTCAGGTTTGAGGCGCGATCGAAATCCCCGTCTGGTCGGCTAGACACCCCGCCCTCCTATTTTGATGGCTTTGAATGAGACTAATTGTTTTCCTCGCTGCTGACGAACAGATGAAAGAAAAAAAAAACACTAAATACAATGCTGTTATAGCTTCTCTCTCTTTCTTGTTGTGGTTTGTTTGAGTGACCGGTGCATAGACGACACCCAAGCAAGACGAGAACTCAGTACAACGGCCGAGCATCCCACATCTTCCGAGTGTCCCGTCGTGGGCACGCGCCACCCCCTGTCACACCTCCAGACAGATCGACTGTGACAAGCCAGCCCTGTTTTAAAGAGACGAATAACCAACCGACAATTGTACAACAAAATGGCCGCGACTGGCATGGCTGGCTTTCTCAACCTTGAATTGGCTATGTAGGATAGGCCATGCGCTAACCCCTTGCCCTGTCGTGATCACACATCGCTTCGGCACCGACGAACCCCGCCATAGCTCACTGTTAATGAACAGGTAAGATTTGTCGTTAACAGGCTCAAGGTTGGCTCCAGACGCCACCCCCCCTTCCTCTTTTCTCCTTCATCAACGTGCTCACTCATTGGCTTTATTCTCCGAGAATTATCCGTGCAGCTGTCAACCTCCCAGTACGACTTTGACAGCGTACCTAACTTCATCCCCCAGATTGGTGCGCCCTAGTGGTTCAGTCCACTGGCTGTGCTGCCCAGCTGCTTTTCTGTGCTGCCACACCAACTACTGCTCACTTGAACCTCCTGAATCTGTACACCTTCATCCCCACACACCTTTATTCCTATCAATGTGACAGAAGGCTAGGATGTGCATGAGAGGGAAGCAGCATGAGAGGGAACCAGTCACAGCGCTAACCGCTTCTGTACCACCGCAACAAAGCTCGCAGTCCCGGAACAGAGACGGAAAGAAACCCCGGCGTCGATGTTGCATTTGTGTTCGAGCTAGAACATAATTCCGTACGTCACACAGTATGCGACAGGAGGAGACCAACGCGAAATGGCCACAGAAAGCTGGGTGTAGGAGGTCCATCCTTGCACACATGTCGAAATCGCCGTAACTGCTCAAGATACCACTCTCCTACCCGAGTTCCAGACTCTTGCCCAACGTCCAGGTCTGCTTGACAAGGCCAGTTGGCTAGTAGGAAAGCATCCGAGACAAAAGAAGATGAGGCAATGCATCATGGCGTGGCAGGACTGCCATTGCCGCTGGGCGTCTGATAGCTGTCCTGACCCCAAACGTAAAGCATGTTTCCACCCTCAGAAAAGCGACCAGCGGGATACACACACCCTACATCGCTGAGGCTGTACTGCGAGAAGTCGTACGCATCCGGTTGTTGGAGCGAGCCGACAGAAGCAACCGTGTTGGGACCGGAGAGCCCGAAGTCCAGACCAGCCGGTGCACCCCCAGGACCCGAGGGCGAAGCGAGTCCAGTCTCGCCGTGCGGCGGCGGTTGATTGGAGTATGCGTTCTCATACATGACGACTTGCTCGGACGCAAGAGGCAGCTGATGGTGCTGATGATGCTGTGAGAACTGATATGGGGCCTGGCCCGAATCCGTGCCCATCTGCAGTTCGAGCATACTCATTTGTTGAGAGAGCACGCCTGCACTCGTGGGCGGCGCTCCGTGCCGAGCCTTGCGTCTTCCCCTGCTGGTTGCGAACCCCCCCTTCTCTCCAGAGACGGCTCGACCGGGCCTTGAGAGATGGGGGTGCTTGGGATTGGCATGGTATGTGACATTGTGAGAGAGAGGGCTATGCCGTCCTCTTTTCAACGAATGACTGCCTTTGGGCCGGTACCTTGTGGTGCTCTGTACACCATCGCGGAGAGCCCAATCTTCGAGCACCCATTCTGTCGATTTCCTAGCGTCGCCTGCGGGCTGAGGGATGGGAGGAGGACCACCCGCTCCTAATTCCGTACCTTGATTCTTTTCCCTCCTCACAAAGGCCTTCAAAGACGACGAACTAGTCAGCCCTGGATACTTCGGTTCTGATTTGGACGGAACAAGGAAGAATACTCACGTGGTTCATGCTGAGGTTATGGCGGATACTGTTCTTCCATCCATCTTTACCGGGGCTGTTAGCCTTGTCAGTGTTGACGCGAAACCACTCGTAGATCTCCTGCAGAGTCATGGCATGAGTAGGGACACTCATGAAGGCTCGGTAGATCAGCCTAGCGTAAGGCTCGCCGTTTTTTGAGGCGTCCATGGCCCGCGAGTTTGCTGTTGCAGAGGGAATATGACCAGAAATAATGAATTCGGATCCTTCTTTGGTGCATGGGTGGTCCCTCATAGACGAGAAGATGTTTGACGGGTCGACCTCTGCGCCTGGTATGCTGCTATAAGGTGGTGTATCTGAGAGCATGGGCGCTGGGTGAGGTTTTCGAATAAAGTTGGGGGGTTCTGATTCGAAGTCATGGTAATAGCGCGGGTAGTTGAGCGCAATGTTCACGTCAGAAATCTCAGGAAGATCGCAAGACAAGTGGCTATGAAGAGGCCGGCCATCGTTCGAGAGCGCCTGATGGCGAGACTGTTCGATGGGCGAGTTCCAGTCCGATTGATCAGAGGCAGCAGACCAACCTCGTGGGGACACCACGACTGGAGACGAGGTGTAATTTGTCGACATGGTTTCGTAGTCAGTGTAATTGTAGGGACAATTTTCGAATTCCGCGATGGAGACCGGCGGAGTGTTGGGATGCCATGTGCTAGTAGTCGAAGAAACACATTGCTCCGCGTCTTTCTGGCCGTCAAAAGGACGCTGGCTGTTTGCATGCCAGGAGTAACGACCTTGAATGACAGAGGAGAGGTCCTTCCTCATGACAGGCGAGGTGTAGTATGAGGGCCTTGGTAGGACCTCGTCACCGTCCAGGTTCGAACAGGAAGGCGATTGCGTTGTGCTAGATAGGAGGTGCCTGTCTTCGTAGTTTTTGGCAAAGGCGGGCAAGCTGTCTGAGATGTGTGTTCCCATGGGTGATCTTGTAACAATCGTCGTCTGTCTTGTGGATACAGCGTCAGGTGGACACTAATACTGGCAGACCCGAAGACTTTCTTGGTCAGGAGTCTGCAAATGTATTTGCGATGTTAGGGATGTTAATGCTGAAGGAACAGACAAGGTTCCGTCTAGAATGGGACAAGGACAGGTAGAATATTCATCGAGTGTTACTAATGTATGACGAGGAACGAGGGATGAGGGTTCAAAGGGCAGAACATTGAGAATTTCCTAGGTAGCTATGATCGTTCTACAAGACGGCCTTATAAAACGCTGGGTAAGGAGAGCGAGAGACAACGGGGAACCTGGCACAAGAGCCCTAGCTGCTTTCATGAAATACGCAGTGACAACGTCTTTGGACAAGAATCCAGAACAGGAATTATTAGTGGTTCAAGGACTCCGGGCATGGGTGTACATCCGCTCGTTGGAGCAAGTACCATGCCAAAGCAATGACCAGTAGGAGCGTAGTCGGTCGTTGGACAGGCGGTAGGGGTGTGCGTTCGAACGATGTAGAGAGCTCCCCGGTTTAGTTTTGACCATGATCTGTGGGTACCTAGGAGTACACACTATCTTCTAGCTCAGCCCAGGATTCTGTCAGCCTTCACCTTCACGACGTTCTCTTCATGCGTGTTTTATGCAACATGCGCCAACATTCCTGTATGTGTATGTATGCGTGTGTTTTGCCATGTGCGTGTTTACATGGGCTGCATGCACTCATGTTTCCTCCTTTGCCGCGTGGGTTATACAGCACACCCCCCCTGGCCCAGTCCCATGCAGGTATCAAAGCTCAAACTGGGGGACGGTGAGGAGGAGGGGGGCCAAAGGCACGTAAGATACAAACAGACAATAGATGACAGTACAGTGGCATTGTTTTTCAAGGGTGGCGGGGTCAGTGCTCTGCCCCCCCCCCCCTTCCCCAACCTACCAAGGTCACCAGATCATCCCGGGCGATGCAAATGGACTGAGCCCTGGCCACGCATCTTTGGATGACTGAGGAGACAAAAAATCTAGGCTTTGGAAGGCGAGGCGGTCATGTAACCACCAGGCATCTCAAGAGGCGACGCTGACGCGTGCGTAATGTTCCGCGAGTCGCGTGATGAGCTGCCACAGTTGTGTCTGAATGGATGTTGTAACACCACCGTCGAGAGGACCCGTCTACTCCGTGAACGCGAAGAGCAAGACGGGAGTCATTGCATACACAAACCCCCAACAAGCACCCCCACGAAAAAAGCACGTACAATACCGAGCCAGGGACGTCCCACTCATCAATACCGGCAGTGGAGCAATCCCAAAGGTCCGTGGCAGGAAGACGGGAGGACGATTTCCACAATGGCTTGCTTGTCACATCGGCCATCAGCGAAGACGTTGCACGCAGGGGACAATGTCATGTCATCCCGGCCTACAGCTCTGCATGGCGTGGCAGGACAGGACCATGCCTTTAACAACGGCCATGTCACGACCAGATGTGGCCGGGCGGCGGTCAGCTCTGGATCTGTGATGGAAGAAGGCTTCATCGGATACGCGCATGGCCAACCCTTTCGCCAACACAAGCCAACCATCTTTCCCCTCCAAATGAAGCTCCTGGGATGTTGCACTGACAGCGACTTGCTCCATTTTCTGCGCGTAGCCTTATTTAGGCGGTGAGATGGCGAGGCAACCGCAATGACCCGTTGCCTGGTACACATGATTGAGCATCGAAGAACTTCTAGAAGGCTCTTGTACACAGCTCCGCAGGTACACGTCGTCGCATCTTAAGGAATGAATTGGGGGGTAAGCTTGTGAACTCTACGCTCCCAGGCGTAATAGGGTTGTAAGGGCGAAAGGAGCCTCCGTAAGTCGTGTGAAGAGCACACAGGACTGATAGTACCAAGTCTCCCCGTGGGGGCAGGCGGTTGCAGTACGTTCAGGAGCAGCCAACGTAGCAAGAATCACGGTCCGCATCGTCTGGCTGAGCGAAAATCCAGTTCTAAATAAGGCAACAGCACACGGCATGGCATCATGTACTTCTCTGTATTGGTCCCAGACGGCCTACCAACGCCCAGGATGTGTACGAAGATGGCCAGCACTGACCTGACAAGACAGGAACGGCGCACAAACTCTGCGAGGGGCGAAGATAGATGTGCCGCTGTCAAAATGTCAGGAGAAGCGAGAGGAATGGCCCCCTTTCCAAGACACCTCACACTCAGCTTCCTTCTCTGTCCTCTTTCCTCTCCCTTTTGTCAAACCTGGCTAGGTGGCACAGTTTCGAGCGTTCGGGTCTACGGACTCCATGTGTGGGGCGCCACACGATACATGACAGCCCGTATGCGTACATTTTAGCCAGCAGGTCGTTTGTGCGCCACGTTGTCGTCGGGGCGCCATTTCCAGATTCGCCGCGGGTGGTCGATCGTGACATCGGTTGCCACGCCATCAACTGCTGATAGCTTTCGGCGCTGTCTTTCCCCCTACCCTCCCTCAAACAACAGCGACAGCTGAACCCACATACCAGGTTCCTTGGCCGGCCTCTGTAAGATTGGATGCTGCGGACATGGTAGGGGTCGACTCGGAGTGGGCGTTGCTGCACGAGACTACTTTCGATAATAGATCTAAAATGATCTGTCAGTTCCATAATAGCGCCGGGAAGATGAGCACATGGCACTTACCTTTTTGAACTGAAAGTGTAGTTGAAGGATGCCCTGCAAGTGTGTCGAATCAGCATCGACATGCTGCAAAACGGGGAGGGGGGTAATAAGGAAAAACATAGACCAGTGGTAGAAGTGGAGAGACGCGCGAGTAAGCGGTTAGGCGGTTGAGCCCAACTTGCTTCGAAGTATTCCTAGACGAGCTGAAGTATACGAGTGCCTTGCACGGCAAGGACAGACTGCTACGCAGACGACTTTGCGGTGGAAGAGCAGGAGAAACAACCACGGCCAACAAAGCAAAACGACAGCAAGTCCGACTCACCTTGTCAAAGGAGCTCTTGAAGCCCCTATCCTTTTTCGCGCTATAGTCCCATTCGCGATCGACTATACGGAATGCAATGTCCTCGTATGGCGGTCCGGCGATGAAACGAATGAGACATGTGTCTTCTTCGCCAGCAGGAGCAAACGACTCTCCCCTCTTGCGACCATGTTCTCGAATAATCTTGAATGTTGGTGCCTTTGTCTTGTCGATAAGCTCCGGATAAAAAATGTTGAACTTGTATCCTTGGACGACCTTGGGAGGTGGATTATCGTGGTCATAATGTGTTTGGTTGTACTTGTTCCACTCGTATCCCATTTGAACGCGGTTGAAATATCGTGGTTTTCGTGGCCGGTGCTTGTCTGCCCATTGGGGCTTCGCTGTTGCAGTAACGGCCTCCTCTGCAGCGAACACCTCCTCGTCCTCGCCAACGCCGCGAGCGACTTCACGTTCATAAAGGGCCTTTGTGGCCTGGGAGAAGTCCTCGTTCTCCACTTGTGCAAAGCGAGCCGTTCCCGGCGGGGCGCTGCTTGGGATTATTGATTTGACTGGAGCCTTTATGTCGAACCTCGAGGACGATTCGGCTCCAGTGGAGGTGCGAACCAAGGAGGACGCGCCACCGAGGCCTGGAACAACATCCGATGAGGAATGTGCCTTGTTTGGGTGGCGCGCGTTCAGCATGGCAGCCCGACTCTCCTTGACCGCCTCATACACTTTTTTCAGCTTCGCCTTTGCCTTCCAAACCAGAAGACTGCGCAGCAGTTGTTCCCAGTAATCCGTGTCGATGTCTTCGTTGGATTGTAGCTTGGCCTTCACCTGTTTTTCGAGGGCTTCCAGCTGCTCGTATGCCTTGGGACTTAGGATCTTGTCAACGTCAGATGACACAGCGCTAACAACTCTGTCATCCGGCCCTTGTGGTTCGAGTTTCTGTCGGCGCTCAGAGCAGATGGTCTGTAAAGACAGCCAGTATTCACGGTTTCTCGAATTTGTCTCGAGGGTGTGGTAGGATTTGATATCGGCTTCGAGTTCCCGCAGCTGAGATTCGTCGAGGCTTTGCAATACGACATCAGGTGCTGTTAGGGCGACATGTAAGTCTGCCTCGTCCTCGTCAAACAAGTCGCGGTCATCATCAACAAAGCGAAGATTGTAGGCGAGGAGGTCGATCGGTTTGGCGCGTCCTTCACGAACACGAATGTCGGCCTTTTTCTTGGTCTGTTTCAGGACAAACTTGTCCTCTTCGGCGACAAACTTCCGAGCCTGCTCATCCTGGGTCATGTACGCAGAGGGAGACGTCTTGTTCTGCCGCGACCTGGCTGAGGGGGGCGGGTTCGTCGGCTTGGAGATGCGCGTGTTGGGATCATTCCGAGGCGAGGCAATATCTCTTCGAGGAGGAGACCTGCGCCCAGATTGTATCATGGCCTTGCGTGCCGGATCCATGGTGTATAGTTTTGGAGCTTTGCTAGATTGAACGCTGCAAGTGCAAGCCGTCGAAGAGGCAGTTGATCACACGCTGACGGGAGCGTCACGTTTGGCGACTTGCCAGGCAGCCCAAGTCTTGAAAGATTCGGCTTATCACCACGTGATACGATGAGCTTGGTGCGCATCCCCCACCAGCTGCGGGAGGAGGAGCTGCTGTGGGGACCGTCCAGGCCCCTGGAGACTGTCGCTACGTACAAGCTCGCTAATTACAGGGGTAATCCGATCGTCTCTAGCGCGTCTCCTGCCCACTCGTCCGATCTAGGAAACGTCATGACGCACAAGACATCGAGAGTCCGATCTCGAATCGCGCCAGCTGGGTCGCCCAGCAGCGCGGCGCGCCTCGCGCATGCGTGCTTCAACACTTTTCTCACTTGGTGTGTGTGCCATACATCCCTCTCTGGGTTTCAATCCAAGGTCAGAAGACTATGAGAACGACGAGGCACTGCGCTGCCTTCTGCACCCGACCCTTCTCACCTGCTTCTTGTCTACCACCGCGGTCAAACGTACCAACACTATTGAACAGCAGTCCACTGCGCCCACCGACATCAGCTCGTCTGTGGCGTGAACATTGTCGCCAGATCAAACGCTGGACACCTGGTCCAGCTACTCACTTCGTGGCCATGCCTCTCAAACGCGGCGCAAAGCGCCAGCTGTCCACCTCAGCCGCCACCTCTGATGCGCAGCCGGCGTCAAAGAAAGCAAAAGATCCCTTGCGCGAGCCGCATCCCTTCTACAAGGATGCGGAAGAACATGGCATCGTTCTTCGGAAGTACTACCCTCACGAGATGAGCAATGATCGGGCCCGCGCCTATAACGACAACGAACTTCCCAGGCCCATCGAAGAACTCACCTCCGCGCTGGCCGATACATCCACGGCTCGTAAGGGCGTCAAGGTGGGGGCTGCCGTTGTGCACTGGTTCAAGATGGATCTGAGACTATCAGATAACACGTCGCTCCGCTTGGCGAGCGAGAGGGCCAAGGACGCCGGTGTGCCTCTGATCGCCATGTACATCATCAGTCCTCAGGATTTCGAGGCCCATCTAACGGCTCCTATTCGTGTCGACTTTACGCTACGAACATTGGAAGTCTTGAAACACGACCTCGCTAAACTGGACATTCCGCTTCACATTGAGACTGTGGACAAGAGGAGACAAATTCCTGATCGCATTGTCGAACTGATGGGAGAATGGGGAGCGACACACCTCTTCGCCAACATGGAGTACGAAGTCGATGAGCTACGGAGAGAGGCCAAGTTGGTGCGCACATTCGCCGACAAGGGCATGTCGTTCGAAGCCGTACATGATACCTGTGTTGTGCCCCCAGGCCAATTGCAGACTGGCACAGGAAAGCAGTACGCCGTGTATACGCCATGGTACCGATCTTGGATGCGCCACGTCCACGAAAACCCAGATCGGTTGGAACTATTTGACCATCCGAACAAGAACCCTAGCAGCGCAAAGGAGAGGTTTGGCAACCTGTTTGCGTCGGAAATCCCGGAGGAGATACCGAACAAGACCCTCAGCGCCGAGGAGAAGAAGCGCTTCCGAGGACTTTTCCCAGCCGGAGAACACGCAGCTCGCGAACGGCTGAACAAGTTTTGTGACAGCAGCATCAGCTCATACGCGGATCGGCGCAACATTCCAGGCGACAACGGTACCTCTTCACTCTCGATGCATCTTGCCAGCGGGACCATCAGCTCGCGGACTTGCGTCAGGACAGCAAGGGACCGCAACAAGACGAAGAAACTCGATGGTGGAAACGGCGGCATTCAAACATGGATCAGCGAGGTAGCCTGGCGGGACTTCTATAAGCATGTTCTGGTTCACTGGCCATATGTCTGGTAAGAGAGACGATACTCCGTCCCTGACAGAGGATGCCTGTCAACTAACCTGCAAGTAGCATGAACAAGCCTTTCAAACCCGAATACGCCAATATTGAATGGTCTTATGAAAAGGATGATTTCAAGGCTTGGTGTGAGGGAAAGACAGGTTTCCCGATTGTTGACGCCGCCATGCGTCAGATGATCCATGTGGGTTGGATGCATAACCGCTGCCGCATGATTGTCGCATCCTTTCTCTGTAAGGATCTTCTGATCGACTGGCGCATGGGTGAGCGGTTCTTCATGGAGCACCTCGTGGATGGTGATTTCGCATCCAACAACGGCGGCTGGGGCTTTAGCGCCAGTGTCGGTGTCGACCCGCAGCCGTACTTTCGCATCTTTAACCCTTTGCTACAGAGCGAAAAGTTCGATCCCGATGGCGAGTACATTCGCAAATGGGTCCCAGAGCTAGCAGGTGTCAAGGGCAAGGCGATACACGATCCATATGGACGCGGCGCAGGGCCGCAAGTGAAGAAAAAGGGCTATCCTGAGCCTATTGTTGCGCACAAAGATGTTCGCGAACGAGCTTTGACAGAGTACAAACGGGGTTTGGGCCGGGAGGATCTGTAGATGTTGGAGACAACAGAGTCGATTCGTGGGCTCTTTGTATCGTCTAATCCTCAATATCCATTTTGGTGCCAATGGCTACCAAGCCTCGATTATTATTCGATCCTGCATAGGCTAATAACATAGAGCACTTGTCAGGGGGCACCTGCGGAGCCACGGAACAGGGGGCTAGTTGAGGGGCTTGGAACTACGAGAGGACGTATGCAAGGGCTGCGGAGGGCCAGATTTCAGATGCATTCCTACCCCCTCCCTAACAATTGACTGCGGATATCATTTGCGGAAGGCCTCTTCACTCTGCTCATCGACACGCCGTGACAGCACCTGTCTCACTTCTTTGCTGACCCGTTGGCGGCCCCGAATCTCCTAGTCTTCTTCCTCACCTTGAGAGTTCTAGCCTGCTCAAGTTTCTCGCCACGTCTATGTCGTTCATTTGGTTAACAAAATTGCCATGGGAACATGAAGAGACTAAGTATTGTCGTACCTCATTCGCCTGTGGGCGGCCATGAGCTCGGAGATGTTCTTTTTCTCGCAATCAACGCCGGAATCGCTAAGGGACCGTCTGAGATCATCAAGTATGGTCTGCATCACTGGCTGTTCATGACCTTCGTCCGGAGTCAATGCAATGGAGCCTGGCGAGGAGGGAAGATGCTCTGAGGCTATATCAAGAAGAGGAATCGACGGCATCTCTTTGCAGAAGCGCTGGCCTTCTTCGCCACTGAGGCCACCGAGGATTGGTGGTTGAAGCATTCGTGGTGCCAAGGGGTCAGCGTGACCCGCCTGCAAGGCAGCTGGAGTATATTCGGTCTGCTCGGGGACGCATAGCCCGGAGCCAGAACGTCCCGTAAGCCCGAGCGATCGCCTCTCATGCGGATGAGCTGTGTCCAGGTATGTTTGAAGTAGGTAGGAGGGCGGACGAGTTGAACATCCATCGAGGGAATGGTTGAGTGGGCTACTTGCGTCGTCGCTTACGACCACAGACTCCGGTGACGGAGCATTAGACCTTTTGAACACGGTCATGGAACAGTCGAGGAGTCTTCGACTGCTGAAGACTTATGTTAGCCCAGTTGAGCCAAGGTTGAGAGCTCAAATATCAAACTTGCCCCGGGCCATTGCTTTCTTTACCGGCTGTAGCGGAATGGTAGCTGTAAGTCCATGAGCCCGGGTTCGAGCAAGCCCTTCCTGCTTCTGAGTATGAGGCTGATGAGGTGGCTATCATGTCACTCTCGACAGTAGTCGGCGAGGGGGTCGGCTCAAGCACCTCAGGTTCGTTAGACTTCGTGGCGGACATCGTAGGAATAGCTTGCGCCTTGACTGTCATCAACAGGGAAGTGCTAGAGAGACCACGAGAGAACAAGACAATGGGAGGGGGGGGTTTTGTATCCATGGGGCCCCATGCTAACCCCCTGATCAAGACTCTCCATTGTCGACGCATGCTTCCCACCTGCCCACCCACGACGGCGGGCTGGTAAGGCATCCTCCCCACACACACGACCCAAAGGGGCGGAATGAGCCTTCCAGGTCAACGGAGCAGGGGCGGGATAAGCTCGTTTCTTTTGTCAAAAGCCTCCTTTTGACGAGGAGCCCGAAGACAACGAATGCAGGTTATATGACGCGACACAGGTGAGGCAGGGTTCCCGACGGAGTGGAACCAATAAGCTGAGGGGCCAAGCGGTTCAGCCCGCAGCTTGGGGGCCCGGGGATGAGCAGCCCGGTCTCCCAGGTTGTATTCTGCATCTTAGCGCGGGCGCCTTCCGCGGCGTGTCACCGGGCTGGGATGATGTGGATGCCAGCGACCCAACGGTCTGGGTAACGGCTTTTGGTCGGCTGAGTGGAGAGAGAGAAAGGGGCGGAAGAGAGTGACAGGAAGAGAGCTTCTGGCGTAGGTGCAGAACACACTGTTCCCGGTGTGGGCCACTCAAGCCAGGCCGCAATTCCTCTGACGTCCCGTGTCGTTGCTTTTGTTCTCCTTCTTTGACAATGCAGAGGCTATCAGCAACGGCTTTCGAGGTCTGTCTCGAGAAGCCTACGGAACACTCGTAATGTGACAAAGTTGTGGAAGTTGTGACACGAAAATCTGACAGACCTCAGCCATCCATGTATACCGCCGGACTACTGCAAGCTGCCGCATCTTTCTCTGGCCTGATTGATGGCTGCCAGCGTGGATCACCAGCATGCCAAGATGCACGACGCTCAACGTTCCGACAATTGTCGGGTGCGTTGATATAATCCCCAAGCCAGGACTAGTGACTTCACAATCACACCACCCCGACGTTCTCCTCGCGCCGGAACTTTCTGAGCTGGCTTGTCGAGGACCACTGATCCGGCCCAGACCTGACGGCTTGGGCCTGGCATGCTGGCGCATGAGTACCTAGCCTTGCGCGTGAAGCCTTCCTTGCAGCAGCACAGCCCCCCGTGCCTTGTCACTGAGAATGAGTTGCCGAAGAAAGAGTGACGTATCGAGGCATGGGAAAATATATTAAGCCGTGAACCGTCGAACGCAGCGTGTGTTAAGAATACCTTAGACAATGGTGAGCCGGCAGGCAGAGGAAAAGTGTGCCCTCGTGCAGCAAGCTGAAATGAAACGCCGCCCGACTCCGCGAAGAGAGTGTCTGTGTGTGTTTTGAGGCGGGGCACGAGGGGGTCCCTCGGTGAAGATAAGGCTGAGCTTCGTTATCCTCGGTGTAGCCACAGCTGCCGTCGGTAGCTTAGCGTCCGCATGACAAAGCCTTTTCTTTGCCTTCCCCTCTTGATTACGCCGCCTCCCCTTTGTCTCCCTTGACGAGTGGCCCCATGCTCCCAATCAGGCGCTTCTTCAACAGTATCCCACCAATGCTGATTTCCAAGCAACACTTCATTTGTCGCAACACCAGTTCAGCGAGGATGAACGTTTCGCTGTCGCGTCTCAATTGACCTGAAACTCGCAATCCGGTCCTCAGTGCGGCCTGCTGCACACCGCCAAGATGCTCAAAAAGTTTGCGACGAACATCTCTCAGGCGTCTCATACCATGACTTCGAGAGCACGTAGCTCGCAAGGCTGCTGGACGTGCCGTCTGCGTCGCAAAAAATGTGACGAGACACGCCCTATCTGTCAAGGCTGCAGTTCTCTTGAGATCACATGCCACTTTGAAGACGCCAAGCCCGGATGGATGGATGGCGGACCTCGACAAAAGGAGGCTGCCGACCAGCTCAAACGTGAGGTCAAGATCCAGGCCAACCAGAGGCGAGAACGCAAATACCTACAGAGTTTCGAGCTCGCGAAATCGGCCCCCGATGATGATGAAGAGGCCTCGGACAGCGAGCACATCTCTGTCCCATCTTCGATCAACGGCTCATCACAGCATGGCACAAATACCAGCCCAGCAACATCACATGACACGCCGCCCGATCTTTCGGCTTTCCAACTTGATGCTGTAAAGTCGTCCATTGCAGAGATCGCCCCTGCGCCGGAGGCCATGGACCAGAGTGAACCGTCCTTTCAAGATTCGTGGAAAGCCCCGATGCCCAGGACGGCGTCCACTGTTATGAGAGAGGAAGAGGGCGACCTCAACTTTATCATGATCTATCTGGACCACGTCTTCCCCTTTTTATTCCCATTTTACCGCCCATCCTTGCCTGAAGGCGGTCGTGGCTGGGTCCTCTCTCTTCTCAAGTCCAATAAGGCCGTATATCACACTGCTCTCAGCCTTGGCTCCTACTACTTTTCCCTGGTGCTCGACAACAGTGGAAGCGGTCACGGTGCGTGCCAGCTCTCCAACCGGCGGCTACTCCAAGCTCAGCAGGAACTCTCGCTCCAGGAGCTGCAGACTGAAATGGCTGCCATAAATGCAAGGGGTGTTTCGGAGTACCCTCGCGAGAGTGTCCGCGTTCTCAACAGCATCATCCAGCTCCTGGTTTTCGACATAGCTGTCTACAACTCCACCAACTGGCTGATGCACGTCGATGCCGCCATCTCGCTCTTCAAGCAGATCATCCCCCTGCCACACCAGTGGGACGAGCGCATATTACAGATGGGGTTCGCTGGAACGCCTTCGCCGCCTGAAGGAGGCTTCTTCATGCCCTGGACTACTGAGCAGGCAGCCTTGAGAACCTTCGGCGCATATCTATTCCTGACCGATGTGCTCACGGCGACGAGTACTGAGAGGCGCCCGCTCTTACAGGATTATCACAGCTCGGCCCTCGACTTGGGTTATGCGCGCGACGAAGACAAATGGAACCGAACGCAAATCCAGTTTGAGCAGCTATTCGGTTGTCAGACCTGGGTTATCCATCTCGTTGGCGAGATTGCGTCCCTTGATACCTGGAAGAAAGAAAACAAACGGGCCGGTTCTCTCTCCGTGACACAGCTGGTGAATCGGGCCGTCATCATTGAACACGCTCTTCGCTCCGGTATTGCCTGCCTCGACGGGCAGTGCAGTCGAGTGGCAAGCCCCGGTGTGGGCGAGTTTGGCGATTTGCCTCATCCGAAGCACCACAAGCCGAGCTGTCGCGTTTATACTGACTTCTCGTGGAGCCAAAAGGTTGACACTCTGCCATTGCACACCATGGTCCCCATCCATACCAAGGTTTGGGCATATGCCGCTCTCACCTATCTTTCTGTTGTTGTGTCCGGATGGCAGCCCTCTTGCCCCGAGACGGCAAGCAGCATAGCTTCTGCCATTGAGCTCATGACGCAGCTTCAGTCCCCGGTGTGTGTTCGCACTGTCATGTGGCCCTTCTGCGTCGTTGGCTGTCTCACCGAGCCTTGTCACCAGCAGCTGCTGCGGGACATGGTCACTAGCATGGGCCCACTCGGAGCTCTTGGGTCACTGCGGACCGCCTTGGCCGTTATGGAAGACGTCTGGGCGCGCCGGGATTCGCTCGGTCAAGACTGGGACATTGCTGCCTGTCTCCAGAGCCTTGGGCATCCCGTCTTGATGATCTGAGCACATGACGACCGATGCTCTGTGAAGCAAGACGATTTTCAAGGTTGTTTTTTGAAGCCTAGCTGACGGTGTATTCTCTTTTTTTTTATCGTTTTCCAGCAATCACGTCTTGTGCGAAGAACGCAAAGCAACCTGCCAACCCATTTTGAAGTCCAGTCTATCGCTCTTACCATTATTATTTGCAACAAAGACCCCTGATTACAGTCTGAGAAACAAGAAAGGAAACGAAATCAGACCACAAACACACGGATCAGTCTCTTTTGCTCGGAGCTGCAGCAAGACCCTTATTCGCCAACATGGTCTGTCTCTTCTGCGCCTCCAGCAACCCAAGATCCCACCATCCATCAATTAGCTCCTTGATCGTACGCGTCCGTCGCTGGGACTTGGACCTCTTCCACAGCCCGCCGCCTACCGGCTGATCAGTAGGCTCTGGCGGCATTGGGATCGAAGGCGAAGCTAGGGGCCCGGGCGAATTCGGCATCGGCGGCATCGTCGCCACGGGGACCGCCCGGTCGTCTTCACCAAAACCATGCATGCCGTCATCCAGAACCATGACCGACTTCATTCTTAATTTCGCCGTGGCTTTCGGGACCGGCGTTGCCTGCGGTTGCAACGATGGAGGGGCATACCAGGGCACTCGCGTCTGGGCAGCGAAGACCGACGGAGCGGCGGTCCCTGCACGCTCGTCGTCAGACGAGTCGCTAGTATCCCATGTCTTCTCCCGCGATGCCAGCATCGCAGACGTGCCGAGACTCTTTTGCCGCAGTCCCACATGTTTGAGTATGGGACGCGGAGGCGACGGCGGTCGAGGGTACCTACTGTCGTCGTTTGGATCGTCAAATGAAAGAGCCCGTGTCGCCGCCTCTGCCGCCCCGCCACGGCCGCACCTTCAGGCGCTCTCGACGTCCTTGCCGATGGGGCCCTGGTTGAGCTTGGTGCGGCGCCAGAGGCAGATGGTGGTGACGGACGAGAAGGCAAACAGGACACATAGGGCAATGGAGAGGCCCCAGACGGCCTTGATGGCGTAGCACGTCTTCTGCGCGGCGCCGACCCACACGAAATAGTTGACCTTGCCGCTGTCGTCGGTGGCATTGAGGATGTTCTCGCCGACCGAGGCGATGAAGGAGGCAGTGCTGCCCTTGACTGTGGGCAGGTCTTTGCAGGCGAGATACGAAAGGGGCTTGCCGAGGGTCACGGCCACGACGATGACGGCGATGAGCAGCGCGCTGTCAGCCGCGGTGGCGATGAGAAGAGGCAGCATGGAGTCCCAGTAGAGAATGTACGAAATGGCGATGTAGAGGGTTGCAACGCAGGCCTGGTGATCTCGTTAGCTATGGTAGAGACAATTTGACATTGCCTAAAAACAACTCACAACCACGAGGGTACCGATCAGCACCGCCGGAGGCTTTGCATTCGCCGAGACCATCTCACTAATAAAGTCTGCGGTCATGCCGATGATGGCAATGAGCGAAACGAACTGCATGGCGCGCATGGCGGTGAAGGTGTGCCCAAGAGCACCGAGACGAGGCATGCCGGCCATGATGCTGGTAAGCTCTTCGTCGTCTTCTTCCAAGAGGAGAAGCTCCTTCTCGAGAGCTTCGGGGCTGGTAATGAGCGTGAGCTTGGGACGGGGTCTCTCGTAGTGCAGAGCCGTCCGCGATGGGAAGCGAGAAGGCGGAAATGGGATTCGGAGGGCTGCGTTGGTGGCGTGAATCTTGAAGGATGGGAGGTTCTCTCAACGCAGAGGTGAGAGAAGCCGTGGTCGGTGGTTGAAATGAATCTGGCTCGTCAAGAGAGATTCGATATACCAAATTGAAAAACAAAGGAAGATTCTCCTGAATACTGAAGAATTGGTGTACGGAAAGTGATGGAAGATACGTGGAGCGATGGGAAGTGAACCAAGGGAATAAGCCAAATGAAAGACCCAAGGAAAGAGAAAGGAAAGAGAGATAGGAAAAGAGAAAGTGAAAAGTGGTCGTAAATTGCCTGTATGTAGGAGTTGATGTCTACCGAAAGAGAAGGAGAAATATCAGTCGTTTGGGGGCTGATGCCTTATATAAAAGATGTATTTTATGACATGGCCAGACCAGGCCAGACTGTCCAACACTGCCTGGTTCGCGTAGGAGTAGGTTCACCAACAGGCAAGGGTGGAAAGGCTCATACCAGCCCATCTGTAGACCATGCAGCCAAATACAGCAACAAACATCACTCCCTTCTCTGATTCACCATCAGCCCCCTTGGCCATACCAGCCCGCATCCACACCTCAACTCTCGAAATTGCCATACCCCAGCAACAGCCTACCAATTCAGTCCCACTGGCGTCGTTCGAATCGACCACAAGCCCACCACGAACTGCTCTGCACAAACTGAGGCAGACTAGCCCATTGTGCGAGCCGCCCATCCATGGTTCCCCGGGACCAATCAGCGCACAAAACCGGCATGTCCGCCCGTGGTGGATTCTTCCGACCTTTTGAAACGCGGCGGTTAGCAGGACAAGCGAGCCGGCCCCACTCTCCGCTCATATAATTGTATCCCTGGTAGGTACTCAGCATATTCACGACCGAGTTCACGGTCTCGAGGGCCTTGAGGGCCTCGAGAAGGACCGCGTCTGCAAGCCGCCGTCAGTTGTATCGTCGGCGATCGCAGCCGAGATGAGTGTCCCGACATAGCTGATGATTGGATGAATCTGGCGCGCTGTCTTCACGGCACCGTCATGCCAAGTCGCGAAGAGACATAACGTAGGTAGGTAGGGGATCATCGACAGACACTGGTCTCGGGACTCGGCCGTCCATCGCGCAGCCGCAGGCAGCTTTGCGATCGTGATGCTCACGCACCCTTGCTTTCGAGGATTCACGCGTCTTCACGGCTGGGCGAGTTGTAAATGGTCAGACTTTGCATGCGCTTCGGAGGATTTGCTACCAAGACAGGGCCTAGACCAACGTGCTGCTGGTGCTGGCTTGGAGTCGGGGCCCTTCTCCATCTCTATGCACAGCCGCATATTGCGCACAAGGCTGACGAGCGACTGTACGAGAAGTGATGTGAAGCAACCATCAAGATGGGTTACGCCAGACTTTTCTTTGCGCGCCAAAACAAGTGTCTACTTTAGACTGATCACTGTAGATTACCCCCCCCCCCCCTTCTCCTGCTGATCCCACGCGAAACTATCTCTCGACAACGGAGATCAGACGAGTGTACCGCGACTCGTGTTCTCTGCCATCATTGCACGGAGTCTGACCAACATTTGCTCAGCCCAGTAGGTCATCCAGTCCGTTGCTGCTACTGGTGGGCTTGGCCGCCGTCGTAGACCCGCCGGCTTGTGCGCCCCAAATCCCGGCACTACTCTTTTCCTTGGCCAATTGTCCCATGGCCGGTCCCTGTCCGGTGGAGGTGTTCGTTTTCTTGATGCCAGAGCTAGCTTGTGACCACAGAGCTCCAAATGCATCCCCACCAGCTGCAGCGGGCTTGGCAGCTGCTGATTGAGCCGGTTTGATCGCGCCCATGCTTGAACCCATAGACACAGCGCTGCCAGTCTGCTGGGAAGCGGCTGACTGGACCGAGCCAAAGTAGTTAGGCCCGGCGGGTTGGTACCCGCCCATCTTGGGCGCCTGCGTTGCTGGCGAGGCCATCGCGGGAGTAGCGAATGACGAATAGTTGGGTCCGGATGCCGTCGATGGGGCCGGAGATGCCAAGTTGACGATATTGCTGAGATCAGCTTGCTGCTGTGGCTGCAGGGGCTTCGGCGCGGCAAACGTGGCAGTGGATGACGCGGCTGCCGTGACGGGAGCAGCAGAGGGAATGCCAGTCTGGGGAGCCGATACAAAGTCGTCAAACTCGTCATCGTCGTCATTGTTGGCAGCAGCTTGGGCGGATAGGGTGGAAAGCCCGCCAAAGCCAGAGCTCTGAGCTGGCGCAGGCGCAGGCGGCGCAGACGAGGACGAGACCGGCTCGTCAAAGGAGAACAGATCGACTTCAGGCTCCTTCTTTTTCTTTGGAGGCTCTGCTTTTGGCGCAGCAGCAACGGTACGCTCGGTTCTCTTGGCGCGAGGAGCTGGTCGATCGCCTTCGTCATACTCATCGTATGCCTCGAATCTGTCTCCGCCACGGCTGCTCGAGCCGCCAGCACCCGAGCCGCCCTCCCTCCACTCGTCCGATTGGCCGCCGAAACCACCGCCGTCTCCGTAGACACCGCCGGAGTATCCGCCAAAGTTCGCAGCGGATGCGCCGCCCGACTCGCTGCCGAAACCGCCATATCGACCGCCGCCGCTGCTGCCCGAGAAGCCACCACCAGCTCCACCCTCGACGCCCGTGTATTTGTTCTTGGTCGCTCGCGCCTTCTTGCGCTCGGATCTGATACGTTCCACGTCACTCAGAAGCTCGGTAAGCTCCTTGGCGCGGTTGCGGACGTTGACACCCTGGTCCTTGCCGTTCTGATCGATGAAGTGAAATTGGCGCAACATCTTCAATAGCGTGATATGGCCGCGGGCGTCGTCAATGACTCGTTCAGAACCGTGCTTGATGAGAAACTCCAAAAGCTGAAGAGCTTTGTAGATCTGGCGCCACTCCTCAGCGGCCTTTTCAGTGAAGCGACGATAGATCATGGGCATGATTTCGTTCAGCGTCGAGCTAGGGGCAGGTGTGTTAGCTTGAGTCGCCAATGTGAGAATGTTTTGTATCCCGAACACAACCCAGACGTACTAGTTGAAAGTGCCATTGGCAATCTCTTGCATTGTGGTGGATGATGCGCCCCATGGTTCGTTGTTGGTTGCCTCGCGGACCTGGCGGACGTTGCGTTAGGTTCGGGATCATTGGATGAATATGCAGGATGATACGGGCGCCCTTCCAGGCAAGTGGCAACGAACCTTGGCTTCCATTTCGGTGTAATTCATAACAGCTGGTGAGGAGCGCTGTCAGCGACGGCCATAGGGGGTGGTCATACTGTTGGGCTTACCATTTTGAACCTTCCTGACACCGGCCTTGACGTCGTAGAGGGTCATGCCCGCGACGGTGTCCTTGAGGTTGTTCCAATCCATGGTGGGCAATTGTTATTGTGCTCACTTCGACAGTGGCAGTGGTTGATGGAGAAGGGAGGGATGGGAGAGCGGCGCTCCAGCCTATTTGCACTCGCCGTTCACAGTGGTGGATGGTGTTTCAGTGGAGGCTTACTTGTTCAGTCGGAGATAGGTAGGCACAAGGACAGCGTCAGTGTGGCGGGTGGCCATGACGGTCAAGGTACCGCCTGTGCCTGCAGTGGCTAACCTGACACCTTGTCACCGTCGGGCAGCCGCGCTTATTATGGGGCCTTGAAGCCGCTTGCTGGGTGATTGACTAACAGTGGAAAAGGTGTTCATCACGTGACCGATGTGGAAAAGAGGATGCTGAGCCAGGGGAGGAATATGGAAGACAGGCTGCAGCGGAGTGATTGATATGTTTTCTTGATTGTTAGATTACCGTAAGACAAGATGATGCGTGCCGTAGCTGCAAGGCCGAGTACTGATGAATGCTGCTGGTGTTCTTATGGCCTCTCAACCTGACCTACCTACCAGGTAGGTAGGTACCTCTAGATACAAAAGTATAAGATGCCTGAGGACCTGGGTGGTCCGAGTGTCAGGGGCCAAAGTTGATGACAGCTCCAGCCTCAAGATCTCAAGACTTTTCCCCCTTCCCTTGAAGAGCACCATCAATCATCCATCAGATCTGGTCATCACACGTCAGTACTCTGTGTAACACTACTCGTATCATTCTTTTCTTCTCATTAACTGTATTACCCCATTTTAGCAAGGTACGTTTGGCAGGCTTCTTTTGTCCCTTCTGAGCTGCACCTCATGCACCCCGTTCCTCGTCACCTAGCCATTGGCCTCGGGGAACAGAAACCTGTCACTCGGCTCGCTCCGGGTAGGGTCCCTCACCCGGGCGGGAGAGGAGAGATCTTGAACACCTGGCGCATGGCCTGCTTCGCCGAAGCTCTGTTCCTGAGATACAGACGTCACGCACTGCTGTACAGTCCTGGCTCGGTACATCATTGCATGTCCGCAATTGAATCGAGCCTCGCCCTATCGAACAAACCGGTTTATCTTCGAGCTCCCACACTCAATTGTCCGGCAACGTGACGGGTGGGGGAAGCTTGACTGGCGAGGGACCATTGCTGCAGGAAGCTTTCGGGTCTTTTCTCAGGTCGCTTTCGCCGTCGGCCCCCTCTCTGTTTCCCCCGGATTTGAGCCAATCGGACCATCGGCAGCCTTCTTTGCTCTCAATCATGTTTGTACGTAGGTACATGCGCGCCAGAATGGCGGTTGTTGAGCTGGTTTGCTGGCCATAGGCCAAGGGGTCGATGGCCTCTGTCGGTCGACCAACCGAGAACGAGGGCACTGTTGAGCTCAGAACGCGAGAGCTCCAGGCCCCGGCCCCACTGGAAGCGCACTGGAGCTGGCGTAATCAACTTCACCGCCGAGGATGGTGAAGTCATTGGTGGATGCAACTGGCATCAGACCAAAAAGCCAGGAAGCTCGTGCTCTGCCCTTCTCAGCGCTGCGCTGCAGAGCGCAGCACGGCGATTGACTTTGAGCTCTGGGGGTCGTCTTGTTCACAGCGTCGTTCCTGTTGGCTTCTTGGTAGCCAGGGTGGTCAGTCACGTCACTGCAGCAACTCGCTGGAGCAACGCAATCGTGGGGCCAAGCTGGAACCTGGAACCCCTCAGTTCCATGATTCCGTCACTGAGCTGACTTCACGTGACTGGCCACCGGGCCACCAGAAACCCCCTACCCACCCCTCGCCTCGCACCTGCCTCTGCCAACTATTCGTTACTTGGCCCCTTGTGGTGGGGAGCTCATGCGCTAACTGTGAACCCCCCTCCTGCAGCAGCTACCTCTCCGACTCCTCAGGCGAAAAAATGAGACCTGCCGCCGTGCTTCGACCCCTCCTACCCCGCCAACATAACCTCTTCTCCTGCTCTTCCGCACCCTCTCCCTTTTCTCGACCTTCCACCTCCAGCTTTATCAAGCCAATTCGCTCAACCCTTCAATCCAACAAGCTTCCCGTCAGATACTTTTCTGCATCCACCATCATGCCTGGTCCTCAGGTGTAAGTCATTGCTCGCTTTGTATTTTGTTTCGTCGGCGTGCCTGCCTTGCAAGAGATGATTGCAGCCTTGCCAATGGGACCATCCAAGCTAACCTGCGTCACCTACTAGTTACTTCGACATCGAGTGGGAGGGTCCCAAGGTCGACAGCAACGGCCGTGCCTCCGGTGCTGCTGAGCGTAAGCTTCCTCTTTTCCTTCATGGGCCTCAGCCCAAGCGACATCTCCGTAGTTGCGAGATTGCCCCTCCTTTCCTCCATCACTATGACGCTCCCCCCCTCCCCCGAGGTCGGAAGCCCCAAGGTTGCCGATGCTGACTAGTCTATCTCTTGCAGAGCAGAGCGGCCGCATCACCTTCAACCTCTTCTACGACATTGTCCCCAAGACTGCCGAGAACTTCCGTGCTCTCTGCACTGGTGAGAAGGGTTTCGGCTACCAGGGCTCTTCCTTCCACCGCATCATCCCTGAGTTCATGCTCCAGGGTGGTGACTTTACTCGTGGCAACGGCACCGGCGGCAAGTCCATCTACGGCGAGAAGTTCGCCGACGAGAACTTCCAGCTGAAGCACGACAAGCCCGGTCTGCTGTCCATGGCCAACGCCGGCCCCAACACGTAAGTACCCCACCAGAGACTCCCTCTTGCTTCGTGTACACGTTGATCTGATATGACTTCCAGCAATGGCTCCCAGTTCTTCGTCACCACCGTTGTCACCTCGTGGCTCAACGGCCGTCACGTCGTCTTCGGCGAGGTCGCTGACGCTTCCTCCCTGAACATCGTGAAGGCTCTTGAGGCTACTGGCTCCCAGAGCGGTACCGTCAAGTACCCTAAGCGCGCCACCATCGTCAAGTCCGGCCAGCTGTAAAGGGTGTCCCTCGACGAAACATTGTACTCGAATCTTCCCTTTTCTCTCTCAGTGTGAGTGGCAGGAAAGTAGGTAGGCGGGTAGTATGCTGAAGTAGTTGCGGAATGTGCGGTGCCTTGGCAGATGACGTCGATAAGCCAGGCTAGGTAGCTAGGTCAAGACGCAAAAGTTATAGCACTATCACCACCAATCTTTCTCTCGTTGTGTGTTCCTCGTCAATTTAATGCGAGCGTAATAAATGTGTTGTCGTGACATTTTCAATTGGTTCAATCCATGCTCCTGTTGACCCGGCCCTAGTTGCCTATCAAGCCCATAATAATTCTCAGGTTCCCCCCATACACATCCCAAGCATTCATTGATCCCTCCATCTGCATTTGATCATTCAATTTTGCCGCCCAACGCCGTTGCCATGCCGTTATGAGAAAAAGAGACGTGGAACCGGAATTCCCAGTTGCGATAAGCAGCATCATTCCAACCCCAACCACCGCTGGTAGTACACGCAATTACTAGCACTGACCGGCCCTCCCTCTTCGCAGAGGTCAAACACTGGACACCTTCCACAAGGCGCCTCGGTGTACCCATTGGCGTACGGCTCGGGGGCACCGCGCTCGATACCACTCTCGTCGGCGCCCTGGCCGGCCCAGTTCCCCAGGCTCTGCTTGGCGGCGCGGCGCACGCGGAGGCCATGCTTGCCGCCGACGCGAATGGGCTCGACGAGGCCGTCAAAGACAAGGACATCTACAAGCTTCTGGATGTCGTCCACGCCAAGAGTCGTCTCCGTCGTGATGCCCGCCTGGGAGATGAAGCGCGCAATGTCCCGGACCGTGGGGTACTCCTTGTAGCCCGCAGGCAGGGGCAGATACGTCGTCTTGTCCACCTGTGTCGCTCCAACAGCGTGGGCCTCGCCCCCATTGGCGTCGTCGCTGATCTGCTCGGCGCCCCTCTTGCGGCCCCCCGCTGGCGGTCCGCCCTTGACGATGCCCTTTTTCGGCACGGCCGCGCGCGCGTCGCCCCCCTTGTGGAAGTAGCTGCTCTGTCGCTTGATGTAGTCGTAGATGACGCGCTGCAGCTCCTCGATGAAGGCCTCGTCGAGCGTCTGGTCTGTGAACCACGGTCCGCCCGTGGCGCGCTCCGAGGGCTGCATCGAAGCCTTGATGTACATCTTCTTATTGGGGTGCTCGACGTTCTTGAACGGCACAATGAGACCCTTGATGTGGAGCTGCTTGATGGCAGCCTTCATGACGGTGTCGTTCATGCTCAGGCGGTTGATGATCGTCTTGCTCCAGATTCCGTCGCCACCGGCATCGTCGATCATGCCGTACACCATGCGCTGCTCGTCCGTCGTACATAGCTTGTACCTGTGAGAGCGCAGCAAGTCAGCCTTCTCGTCCGCCCGCCGCAAATCGATCAATTGTCCCTATCACCCCCCAATTCCATTCGGGTGTCGCGAGAGAGAAACTCACTTGGCAGCCTCGGCCTTTGGCCGCCATCGCCACGCGAGGCCGCTCTGCGTCGCCACAGCATTGAGCAGCTTCTCGTTGGAGAGGCTCTGGAGCGCCTTAAGGAGCAGCGACGCATCGCGGTTGGGAATGACGTCGAGTTCGAGGAGATCATCCTGCGTGTAGAGTTGGTCCTCGCCGCCGTTGTTCTGACACGCCTCGTAGATGGCCTGCTTGATGACCTCGAGCTTGGTGGGGTCGGTCGCCGAGCTGGCCGGTGTCGCCGTCGAAGGCGTAGTTGCTTCGGGAGCCATTATGCGCCCTCGCTTCCTTGTATTTGCCGCGGTTGTTGAAGGATCGGGAAGCGAGGAGGAGGATGTTTGTGTTGGCGGGGTTGAGTCAGAGGCGAGGGAAGAAGCTTCGGCGCTTGAGACGAAGTAGTGCGCGCCCCCGGGCAAAGTCTAGTCGCAGTGAACAGCTGCTACATCTGCGAATGCACTGATGAGACTTTGGTCACCGTGAGCCGCGCATTGGACTGTCGAGAGGAAGAATTGGCTTTGAAAATGGGTCGGCGACGAGGCGAGGAGTTCGCCCTTTGGGGGAAGCTTCGAAAAATAATCGCTGCCCCGCCCACAAAGTTCTAGCCTCGCATCTTGCGCCGGCTAATCCCTGGCTCGGGGTCAGCGCTGGTCATCATCAGTTGGGACAAGAATATTCTCCGATTGCTTTATCACGACGACGACTACTGTACAATTGAGCTTGTTGTCGTCACACATCCCGTACTTAGTCTCTCTATCATACATTGCTCAAGGAATCTACGAAGACGCATGTTTAACCTTCATGGCACCAGCCCAAGCTTCTATCATTACAGCCATAAACCATAAAATCAACAGTCATCCAGAATTGCAGTTGTCTGCTTTGTAGCAGAATTCTATTGACATAAATCAAACATGCATCGGACGGTTGCCCTACGCGAAGCCTCCGACCAATGCCATGAGTGCTGCACCGCCCACCACGGCCGCGTAAGCCCTCCATCTCTTCTTTCCCGTGAGGGTGTGGTAGCTCTTCTCTGTGAGGAAGTCCTCTGACAGCAACTGTACGAGACCGGCGAACAGCAGTAGGCCAGCCGATATGGAGTTCATGAAGCCAACCATCAGGAGGCCGGTCTGACTCATAGGGTCATACATCTTGTGTATCACCAACCCAATTAGTTGTCCGAAGGGTGTCGTGGCCCCGAATGCAAGCACCATCAGCCAGGGCCTCGCCGATTGACGCGGAAGCTGAATGGCGGCAATACGACTGCCGAGAGCAAGACCCTCGAAAGTCTGATGGAAACTGATGGCGATGAGGAAAACGATGAATGTTGAACCTGTTGCCACTGAGATTGCCATGCCGATGAATACGCTGTGGAATAGAATGCCACCCTCCAGCATCACACATTGGCGGAGTAGCCGGGCTTGTTCTTCGGGGGTCACGACGTGTGGCGTATTAGGCGCAGTGGGTGTTTGCGGCTTGCGTCTGGAGCGCAGGCCATTCATTGGCACGGCATCAAGCTCGTGCATATCCAGGTCAATATCCGAATCATCTTCGTCTTCTTCTGGCCTGTTGAGCTTGAAGCTGGGACCTGATGCTGGCGGCCGCACTGGGCCCCCGGTTTGCAGGGGAGATGCGCCGGCCATGAGCCCGTCTGTGGCCTCCGTGTCGTGAAACGCTATATCTGAAGGGCGATGGCTTCCCTCTCGCCTGGCAGCGAGGCCATCCGTATTTCCATTTGCTGGGAAATTATCCTTGTGTACAATGGGCGTCGTGTCGTCATCTTCGTCCCAGAACTGACCATAGTGGTGTGAGTGCGAGTGGCCGGCCCCACGGGTTGCGAGGTAGGATTCGAGAGCGACGACGGTCAGGGCAGCGACCATGGCAACGAAGCCGGCCATGGGCGGGAAGCCCTCGTTGAAAAAGGAGGGAAGACATGGGTCGGTCAACGAGAGGAATGCCGTTGGCAATAGATGAACAAAGGCGGTGGCCAGCAGGACGCCCGTGCCAAAGTGCTGGCAGTAGAAAAGGATACGTTTCTGAAGTCGTCCCCCAGAGTTTCGCCGTGGTAGAAGGGGAATACCGCATGCTGTGTGCAGTTGCGATGTCAGCAGCGTTCTCGTGACGAGGGCGGAGAACAAGAGGGACAGGTCTAGCTTACAGATGGTGCTAAGAGACAGGATCAGGACGAGGGCGCCAATGTGTAGGGCAAGATCGTAAGAACCACGCTTGCCGGAACCGCATTGGGGTTTCGTCTTGTCGCCATCGTCTTTGCGTCTGGTCAGTTCGGCCAGGAGAAGGTCGGTTGGGATCGTGGCCCACGAGACATCTGTGGCCGAGGGCAGGAGCAATTGTCAGCAACGGCGGGACGACGCAGTCAGGACGACGCAGTCAGGACGAGATCACATGGAATACAATGCAAGCGCACCTCTGGTCTGTGGATCCATGATTGGAAAATCGTTTCAGCCTTTCGGGCTGGTGAAGTTATGCTGGTCGTCACCGGATGAATGAAGTCAAGGTCGATGTCATGGCGGCTGCGCGAAGCGGAAGCAAAGATGCCATCAAGGTTTCGTGTCACTCGGCAAGGTTTGGGGCCAGATGGGCAGGAGGCTGCAAACTGGAACACGAACATGCTCCTTGAAAGGGACACGCCCGGATCCAGCGTCAGGCACGGCACGCATGGGGATAAGAGACCTTGAGACATGGGAAGGGGGAACCGAATTGTTCGCTTGGCGCTGCCATCGATCGCTGGCCTGCAGCAGGAGCTGCCGGTGGACGCGGAGAAGGACCCACCCCAGGCAACCCAGGCGACCCAAAAATGGACGAAACTTACGCACAGGGATGGGTCCTTCTTTCGGTGGACAAGCCTCGCTATGTGAATACTCGTGTCGACCTCCGGGTTTCGGCGACAAGACCACCGTCAGCCGCAAGAAAAAGCGTCACTGGTGCCTTGGCCGTCAAGTTGAACCGAGAACCAATGCAGCAATTGCGCAAGTGAGATTATTGTATTGCGTGTGTGTGTTGCGTGCGTGTCTTTCTACTAGGCAGGTCTGTAACGAATACTTTTGTTGCCTCCCCCCTAGGCTTGCCCAAGGTTGCCTTTCCGATTCTGCTTCCCACGTCATTATTCTCATTACGCAAGCCTCTTGTTGACAAGACACCTCGATTACGGCCAATAAAGACCACCCCTCGCCGGCGACACCTCACATCGGTACCCTTTTGTCGATAACGTCTATTCTCCAAGGTCCTATTTGCTCCAGTCAATGGAGGCAACGTCGTCGTAGCAGCCCACTTCATTGACGAACTGGTGGCTCGCAATGGCGCCCGCAGGCAAATCCGCGAGCTTTGCACATTGAGGTACGAGTCTGATAGCGACACAGTCCTCGGGGATGTTCGACTCGGACTCGCCTTTTTCGTTGATCTCCGTCTCGGCATGCTTCAGGAGAAGAAACTTGCGTCCCTGGTAGTACGGTACACTTTCATTGCAGACGACATAGCTGCCGATTACGGGAGCCGTCAGATAGGCGTACGGCTCGGAACCGCTGGTGAGCTGCACACCCTTTGTGCCGTCTCCGGCATCAACGCGCACGGCTGAAACCGAGTCTTCGGCTTCCGCGATGTCGATGCCGTTGGGGAAAGGCGGGGTGCCGCCGTCGGTCACAACAGTGCCCTTGCTCTCGCTAATCTCTTGTTGAGTGCCGTTGACATACCACACGCGGGCGGAGCCGGTCGAGATGGCGGCGAGTGCCTGGCCCGCACCTACGTGGATGGAGGAGAGAGTGTAGTGGTTGATGGACTCGCAAAAGTCGGCCGCCGGGTTCGTCACATTAACAACGAGGGTAAAGCCTGACGAGGTGGATTTCTGGGGGTAGCTTGTTTGACGGACAGCCAGTGGTGATGCCGACGTCAAGCCGGCAAGGCCGACGAGGAAAGCGGTATTGCGCATATTGGTGAGGGCTTGACGTGCCCAAGCAAAGGAGGAACTGGTAATATACAAACGCAGCGAAGGCTCTCTATAATTGATGTCAAGGATGTCGTTGTGGTGTCTGCTTTCGTGGGTTTCGAGGTTACTCGAAAAAAAACGTGGAATGTGGGCAGCGGAATGTTAAATAGAGCAACTCGAACCCCAACGCCAGAAGGAGCCTTGGGGCTTAGATGTATGTTACGGGGGGGGATGAACTCGCGACTCACCCCTGTGAGGTGTAACCTCTGTCCCTATCGTTCCACCATTCACGAGGTACGACATCAGAATCAGGAGCTGATAGCGCAGTGGCTTCCCGCCGGCCTTCCCGCTCGATGTCGCAGTGTCGAACGATGGCAGGTGAACTACGTTCGCTCCTTGCCAAAGCAATCATGGGGGGCTGGTACGAAGTTGCAGGCGATCTCTTTGCTGCAGATCTTTGGCTTATCACAGCTTGCAGTAGCACTACTAGGTCGTGCACTTGTCGGATTGCGGCGAGGTTGGGCGCGCTGGCCTGAAGAGCGCTGGACGCCTACTGGACATGACGTTGCAAGGGCGATTTGGGGCTGGTAAACTCTGAGAGCAAGCGCCAGCGCCGTTGCCAGGCAGCCAGGCCATCCGGAGGGCGCGAAAGGTCCGGTGCCCAGTGAACAAAGGCCAGCAGTGACGGCTTGTCAGATCTGGGGAAGGCGACAGCGTCATGCCGAGCCAAGAAGCCGGCAAGCGCGAACCGAACGCCCCGTAGCCGGCCCGTCTTTTTGCCCAACAGCTCATAATCTGGCATGTCTCGGGTGACTGCTTTTTCCAGGGTGTTCAGGTGAATACTCGGTTCGCAAAGGTAGTATTCAGTCATGGCACATGGTACGTTGTAGAACAGAGTTAGACCAGCTCGGACTACTGCATCCTACCTAGGTTTGTGGGTAGTGAGAAGGTTGAGGTGATGTCCTCCATACCATATTTAGATGGCTGGCCAAAGGGCGGGGTCGATTAGGTCATCTATGTGGCTGAAGGCAAAAAGCGTCTAGCGTACCTATTGTAGGAGCATACCTTTTTTGATCACTCATTGGGATATCTCAATTCCGGTCAAGAGAGGCCGAAAAGCAAACCATCGAGCAGCTGCTAAGTCGATGGACACCTGCCGTGACACAATCTCACTGAGACGAAACAGCCTTGCCATTGATGCCATTGATGCAGGCAGCCGAGACCAAGATCACGCTAAGCCTCATGCCTCGTTCAGGGCATTCTGAAAGTGAATTTGTGAGCAAGAATATCCAGCACCATTACGAGTCCTCAGCACCGACGCGAGACTGACGATGCATTTTCTCGACTTGCTACCGAGGCACTTCAATTTGTCACGCAGCCTTGAAAGGCGCCTTGAGAACCACCTGCCCAACGGCGACCGCGGCTGGCCTGCAAAATCCCCGACACTTTGCCCGATGGGTCGGAATAGGCGGGGATTTACCAATGAAACTCCAGCTAGTGATTTGTCAGATACCCACCCTGTCGATGGCGCAATCCAAGCATCATGACTTCTTGAGTATCCCCGTTTGAGGGCTGGACGAGTATATTGAAATGCCTTGTGTCCCTACACACATGAAGAGTGCATAGTATCAAAAACAACGCCAGCTTGTGGGCTCGTTCTACCGGCTCTTTCACCAAACAAATACCTTCCCGGCATACTGTTTGTCCGTCAAGCAGCTCGAAACATCACTGAACCAGCTGCAGTCCAGCTCTCCAAGCCCCACCACAGCTTCACCCTCCAAGTGAAAGTGTATAGTCGACGCGAGTTGCCACACAGAGGAGCCTCGTCTCACAGTCACCCAGATCCTCATTTTCACTTTCAACAACCTCACCACCGCTACCCTCACAATGCCTTTTGCGCTCCCTCCCTTCATCGCTCGCCTCGCGCGACCCTTGACCACTTCCACAACCCTCCATCTCGCCTCCCCCTCCAACTCTGAGTTCCCCGCCGGCTCGGCAACCGCCACCATCGCCGCGGGCTGCTTCTGGGGCGTCGAGCACATCTACCGCAAGCACTTTGGCGCCTCCGGGCTCCTCGACGCTCGCGTCGGGTACATCGGCGGCGACGCTGAGCACCCCATGTACCGCACCGTCTGCACTGGCCGCACTGGGCACACCGAGGCTCTGCAGGTCGTGTACGACCCGTCCAAGGTGTCATACGCTCAGCTTCTCGAGTTCTTCTACCGCATGCACGACCCCACGACCGCCAACCGCCAGGGCCCCGACACGGGCACCCAGTACCGCAGCGGCATATACTTTCACGGCGAGGAGCAGGAGCGCATCGCCAAGGAGATTACCCGCAAGGCCAACGAGCAGTGGTACGAGGGCAAGATTGTCACTGAAATTGTGCCCGCCGGCCAGTGGTGGGACGCCGAGGACTACCACCAGAAGTATCTGCACAAGAACCCCTCTGGCTATGAGTGTCCTAGTCACTTCTTGAGGACGTTCAAGCCCCTTGAGTGACCTGGAGGAATCCTAGCCGTTGACAAGTGGCAGTGGAGGATTAGGAGGACGTGGAACGTATGGGGAGGCTGATTCAATGGAACACCGCAAAGATAACGAAGCGTTGACATTTCCACACTTTAGACCAGAGTCAGGGTAGATTGATCTGCAAAATGAATCTCTTTGCAAGCTGCATTGCCTCACATGATGTTGTGTCTTGAATTGCTTTGTGCTGTTGAATTTCACAGTCATTGTTCTACATAATTAACTCCTAAAGAAAGTTCGAGGCCGTTTTCTTGGCCAGAGAGGGGATTATCTCCCTTTGTACACTGTTTCCCTGCGCTGCTGGCGCACTCTCAGGCATCAAAAACCTTTTCGCCTGATTACTGAACGCTTTATAACCTGCTGTCCGAGAATGCCTCACTTACGACGGTTCTGCTGCATCATGAGAATCTGGACCATGCGGATGAAGATGTTGAGGAAGTCGAGCTCGAGTGAGATGCTCTCGTTGACGGGGTCCTTCTTGATAGCACCAGCCTCGGCAAGACGCGCGTGATACAGAACCTTCTGAACATCGTACAGAGTGAAGCCGCCGAAGACAGCCAGGCCACCGTACAGCCAGAGGTTCTCGGTGAAAGCCAAGGTCCTCACGGCGGTGGCGGGAATGACGAGAGGCGCGAGGCCGGAGGCCGCGACGATGGCAGCACCAGCCAGGAGAGGTCCGCCAATGTAGAGGTACTTCTCCTGCTTGGCGGTGGCGCCGACGATGGAGATGCTGCCCATCATGGCAACAGTGTAGAGACCGGCGCGGGCGATGAGCGCACCAGGGACGAAAGCCAGGAGGGGCGCGACGAAAGGCAGCCTGGGTGGCGTTGAATGCGGTCCAGAGGGCGTACTTGGGAATGTAGCTAGACATTGTCAGTAAAGTTCCATCAGGCCAGTTTTGAGGATTCCTTACTTGTCAGGCGAGATAGACCGAGTTCCGATCATGGTCGCAAAGCTAAGGGCAAGGCCGCCGATGCCGACCACCCAGGGGTTGGTCACCATGAGGCGGTAGACGAAGCCGGTATTGATCATTTGGCGGGCAGTCAGAGCGATGATGCCGACACCGAGACCAGTGTGCAGGAAGGTGCTGTTGAGGTATTCGCGCTCGAAAGGCGGCATGCCGCCGTCTTCCCTCATCTCGCGGTTGAAGACGGCGTTGATAGCCACGAGGGTGCCACCGAAGATGGCACCGCCGACGACCAGCTTGCGCACATTGCTGCCGCCTTGCTGGCTCTGGGTGTAGGTCTGCTGGGTGAAGCTTCTCGCACCATTGCGGAAGGTGCTGCGCGCAACAATCGAGGATGTTGTCAATCCCTTTATCGCAGTAGTACGGGCACTGAAGAAGGCGGAGGACAGCTTCTGTTTCGGCGAGACCTGGTGGAAAGCCCGGGAGGCGGTCGTCCGGAAGGCAGCGGATTTTGACAATTCGGGGAGGCGCTGCACCAGGCGCGCAGGCCCTTGGCGCATTGTGATATTAAAGGACATCATGAGAGGCCCTTCTGAATTTTGAAAAATCGATAGGTGGAGTTCAGATGTCGAGGACAAAAGAAATCTGTTCGATGGAGGGGAAGGTCGATGACTTGCTCAAGTACCTCAGGCACGGGCGGGAGGAGGAGGAGAAGAGGTGCGCGCGGACGCAAGGATTTGATGACGTTCCGGCGTGAAGCTTGGGCCAGATTTGCTGACCTAACAAGACTTTTCTGGTCAGCAGCACAAGGCCAGAATTCAGTGGAAGCTTCCGGGGCACACTGAGTGAGGGCGGGCGAACCGGACTTTTGCCGTAAGTCCGCTGCAATATCACCAGCCACCTCGGCTGTGCTTGATGAAGAAGGAACGGCAAAGTAGTAACCTGATGTTTGAATAGGTTTCGCAGTAGATGTGTCCAACCCATTTGATAGATGTACGAGAATTTCTCAATTGGCAGCTCAATTGGCAACCCAATTCTCATGGCACTCTGGACTTTTCATCGCAGTATCCAATTGGTTTAAAACCTGCTTCCTCCGCCAGGCAATCATCGTTTTGGCACCGTCGATGTAAACTGTAAAGTACATCCAAACGATTAACCAGCGTCAAATCGGGCTCTTGGCTTGAACCGCAACATGCAACATTTCATAGTCTCCACACGCACTGCTGTGTAATTGGCTTAAATTCTGGAAGATTGCGATGGCAAGAACACTCCTCGTCGGCCGCATGGCATGGCAATCTGCCACCTGGAGACCAGTCAGCCTCAAATCAACATTGTTATGCAAACAATTACGCCTGCGAATCCACGAAGGAGGATGTAGCGAAACTCTGCGTGCTTTGACAATTTGCGGAAAGGTTACCCTTGGTCATCATGTGTCCGGGAGTCACTTCAATGTCCATTACCAATACGTCCGATTTTGGTCAATTGAGCGGCGACACGATTACCATCCGCGTGCCGGATGCGGCTGTCAAGCCTGCGGTCTGTCTCGGCAGCATGATGGGTCGGCAAGTGAGGCGCCTATCCAGGCAAGGATGATCTCTATCATCACTTACAGGTGAATAACTTGGTGTAGTGTCGCTGGACGTTTAAAGGAAGCAGCAACTGCCCCCCTCGCCGTGGCCGCATTCCTTAGTGCCAGTCAATGAATCTCTCCTAGAATTCCCCCTTTCGCCTCTGTCATCGCGACATTCAGTCTCTTCTTTTCTCGACGTCTGCATCGCTGCGATAGCCTTGGGACGATTTTTCTTCTTGCACCACATACCTAAGAGTCGGTAAATATGCGTCTATCGCCATCTCTCATGGCACTCGCCTACCAGGCGGTCGCCGTTGCTTCCGCACCGCTACATCAAGCTCAAGCGCCGCTCGTTTCACCAGCAGACCCTCAGACTGGGACTGCACCAACACAGGACGCGAAAAAAGCAATCGCCAGGCCGACAAGCATTGGCGAGGGATGGTACATTAATACTGATCGCTGGCTGGCCAAGACCGACGGCGAGAATCCGACGAACAAAGCAACGACTTCTGTAGCCTACTGCTTCTGCTCAGAAGGCGACGTGTGCTGCAACTCGTCCCACGGCGTGCAATGCGATTACGGCATCTGCGGCATCTAACGGTTACGCCGCCAAGCCCCAAAGAGATCTCTGGGCCAGGTCTCCCCGCTTTACGTCACTTCGATCTCGGCCGGCAATCGTTATCGCTATCGATGAAGCGAACCACGGGGTAGTAACATTGGATCGCGCCAGTGGATGCGTCTGACACTTGACAGTCGACCTCGCCATACCCAAACAAGTATTGCTGGCGCCTCGCCTGCTCACATTGCCGAGTCTCCGCTGTACTGGGTCGTGTGTAGGCCCCAGCCGCTCCTCGGCGAGCGTCTTCTAATCTAAGATTATTTGTGAAGGTTTCCGGCCAGGGGCCAAGGGTGGCGCCGGCGTCTCGGACGCACAAGGGCTTCCCTGGAGCCAGGGAATGCAGATTCAACCGACACCATGTGCAGCGACGTGTGAGGGCAGAAATAATTAGGGGGTTGAAGCAGAAAAGAACCCACTTCGCCACCAGTTTCGTATGTCGCAAGCTGACAGAAGGAACGTGGTGAGCAGTTGGTTTGCGCCGCAGGCGTGCGCAGCCTGTCAGATTAGGCTTGAAGTTTGATGAGACTCAAAACCCCCACAGTCCGTTCATCTCATGTTGCTCGCGAGGTAGTTTACGAATCCACGATGCATCTCGATCCAATACTACCTCAAGACAGATTTCTTGGTACTTTAAATGTGGCAATATTTGTTGCTTGGTACTTGTGCGCGACAGAAAGTCTTCCAGTGCCGTCGACCCCTGGTCCCATTCTGACCTGACCATCCCTGGCAGCACCGACTGGCTAAGCCGTAAATCGTCTCAAACTCCCGCATCAATCTCCCAGCTGCGCCTATTCTCAATTCCTCTCAAGGTCCAGCCAGCCGTGGATTGCGGGGGTCCAACGGCTATCCGTCGCCGGGCTCGTGCCTGCGTCACTCCACACGCTCTTTTACATGGTGCGCGTGGCCTGAAGCCATGTCCCACCCGTCAGGTCCGAGGCTGCAATGAGCCCAGAATGTCCATCGGCCAAATGAAAGCTGCCAGGGGCTGAACCAGCGCAGCCTGGCTCATTCGAGAACCCGACTCATCCGCGATAGGTATAAGGCAAGGCTGGCTGGCTGTTGCTGTCCCTGAGTCTTGGGACCGAACTTCATCCTCTTTTGCCTCCTGTTCATATCGGGCCTTTCTAACCTTCAGTCACTCTTTTTTTGTGTTCGAGCCTTGGTGCTTTGATTCGCCTATACACTCATTTTCATCTGACATTCTTTTCGAACGCGCAACGATGCACACCCAGTCATACCTGAGCCTTGCTCTGGCCCTTGCGGCCCCAGCCGTCGTCAACGCCGTCTCTGGTAGCGGCCATTCGACGAGGTACTGGGACTGCTGCAAGCCCTCCTGCGCTTGGAGCGGCAAGGTGAGAAGCCCGGCATGGTTCGAGAGATTATTGACTAACTTCGTTTTCCTCTAGGCCTCCGTCTCGGCCCCTGTCTTGACCTGCGACAAGAACGACAACCCGCTGACCGATCCCAATGCCAAGAGTGGTTGCGACGGTGGTGGTGCCTTCTCTTGCACGAACAACTCGCCCTTTGCCATCAACGATGACGTCGCCTTTGGTTTTGCCGCCACGGCCATCAACGGTGGTTCCGAGGCCAGCTGGTGCTGTGCCTGCTATGCGTGGGTTCCCCTTCTGTGACACGGAGTGAGCGTGAGCCGTGCTAACAGATCGATGATAGTCTCACATTCACGAACGGCCCCGTCGCCGGTAAGAAGATGGTCGTTCAGTCTACCAACACTGGTGGCGACCTGGGCAACAACCACTTCGACATCATGATGCCCGGTGGTGGTACGTTACAGCTCAACCCTGCCGGTTAGGAACCAGCACACTAACGTAAAGTTGAAGGTCTCGGTATCTTCGACGGCTGCTCCCCACAGTTCGGCGGTATCCCTGGCGCGCGCTACGGCGGCGTCGGCTCTCGTTCCGAGTGCGATGGTATGCCGGGCCTCCTCAAGGACGGCTGCCAGTGGCGCTTCGATTGGTTCAAGAACGCCGACAACCCCGACTTCACATTCGAGCAGGTGCAGTGCCCCAGCGAGCTGGTCGCCATCTCGGGATGCCGCCGTGCCGATGACAAGAACTTCCCCGCGTTTAACATGATCGGAAACTCGGCGCCCAAGCCCACGACCAGCAAGGCCGTGACGACAAGCAAGCCTGCCACTACTAGCAAGCCCGTCACGACCATCAAGCCTGCCACGACCAGCAAGCCCGCTAAGACCAGCAAGCCCGCAGGCGGCTCTCCATCTGAGCCCCTTGTGGCTGCTTACGGCCAGTGCAACTCGGAGAAGAGCTGGGCTGCGGCCAAGCCGTGCGCAAAGGGACTCCGTTGCGTCAAGCAGAACGACTGGTACTCTCAGTGCCTGCCTTAGACCGACGAAGGATAGCCGTGGCGGCGCGTGGGGGTTGAATGGGCTTCAGGCTTCCTTGAGCGACCTCGACAACGACCCTGGGCATCTGACCATCGGCATCTGGGGAGCATGGTTCCTACGTTCAGGGCTGCTTGACGCCCTTTAGCCTTTTTCTTCTTCTTCTCTTCTCTTGATGTTTCTTGGGCTATGGTCTGTTAGTTGTTAGCTAGACGCGCCTAAGAACAGAAATGATATTAGTGTACTCATTATAACATGATCGCTCAATTCGAAACAAGTAAGCCAGCAGAACTTTGCTGCTCCCATGGAATCGCGCGAGTTTAATTTTTTGCAACAGTCTGATCCACTTCACTGGAAGAGACGGAGGCGGAACGTTGAGTTGTAGATGACCTTACTCAGGTTGGCAGGTGACTGTCCAAACTGAAATGCAAGGGAAAGGAGTTCCAGACCACAAGATTGGTGCCCCGCTTTCCGAATGCACCAGCAGCAAGGCACGCACGACTCATCCATCAGTGGTACCAGCGTGACGAGCGGGAGATGTGATGCCACGAAGGGAGCTCGGGCCAGCGCTAGAAGTGGTCTCAGGGCTTCTCGAAGAGTACCTTAACTGTGAGACGCTAAAGAACCTAAAGGAGGTGGTCAAGGCGCATGACACCAGTGTATGGTTACCTCCTTTGGCGACAGCGGGGGGGTTTTTAGATGCTGTTACAAGGAACTGTACCGAAGAGGGAGGGGCGAGCAAGATTAGAGGCATCCAGCGCAGCCCTGAATGGAGGTACGTTTCAAGTGTCTGCCAATTTCCACATGCACCGAGCACACCAACTCGTAGTTTGTGTCTTGTTTCTTCATCTTGAAGACCCAAGAACGGAAGGCGATGACGGTGATGATGTAGAAAGAGGCAGATGGCCGCCCCGTGGCGCAGCGGCCATGACGATGGGTTGGGACTTAATGCATGCGACAAGGAGATGCACGAGCAAACGGTTTGCCCGAAAGAAGCAATTCCAATCCGCCGCTGCGGAGATTCTTGTACATGTAGGGCACCACAGTCACTGGCACCCCATTCACAGCAGGTGCCAGCAGGATCGATGAAGTGACCAGCGCCCTGCGGCTGGCCTGGGACGCTCGAGCACGGTTCCGTCACACCAAAACCTTGCGATCCGCCTTCCTGCATCCCCGGCGAATGAGAGGGCGGCAAGCTCGCCTCTTCGCACGTTATCTCTGGCTGCAGCGAGCCGGCGCCCACGGAAGGCAAGCTAGTAAAGAAAGCGTCCCTCTTAGCATAACGCGACCACAGCAGGAGGGTGGGCATTGCATTTTTTGCCAGCCTGGCTTGCAGGGTGGGATAGCGCGGGACATGGCGTGGGGAAGAGGGCGCTTCGGAAGAGCTAGGACCAGGCGGGAAAGCGGGAGAGGTCGAGGTGTGGACAAAGTCTCTCTTCTAGCAGCAGCCCCAGGTCTTGTGGTCGCCATCGCCAAGCCTGCCATTGGGTGACCGAGTATTTCCGCTGGCTGAATGAACAAGCGGTGACGAGCTGACGACTGAGAAAGTACTTGCAGTTGGGGGGTTCTTGGCAGCGTTGATCTGTTGAAGAATCGCGAGCTGTAGACCCCAAGGGAGATGAGGGAAAAGGCCACAGGGGACCGTAGCTTGGGGCAGGGTAATTGTGTGGGCGTTCGGGTGTTTCTTTGGGTAGGCTTCTCCCGGGCTTCCAATGGCCTTCCATCTGCTTTCCACCCGGTTTCCATGCGTTCATCTATGCAATGCAGCTTGCAGTCAGGGCAGAAGGAAGATACTGTCGTGCCACCCACCAGCCGGCATGTGAAGGGTGGCACAACCGCTCTGACTGACGCCTCTTCGGTCCCCCTTTTTTTTTTTTCTTTTTTTTATACCTCGATGGCTCTCCATCGCCAGAAGAACAGAAATGTCGAGACGAGGCGCCTCCCTCATCAACAAGGCACGTTAGCCATGCCATGTGAGACGTTCGGTCGTGAGCGAAGGGGGGATCGGTATGGATGGTGCCAAGGCCAGAGTCCGAGCCAAGCGAGCGGAAACGGACGGACGTTGTTTCGACCGCGATGCTGCCATAACCGAACCCCTGTGATCGGGAACGTCTTGCCTTTTCCGTTGTCTGCCACCTGCACGGCGTCAGACCAGGTATCCTAGCCTCGGGTCTTCATTTACTATGCTTTCGCCAGCCGCCATCACGAGTCGTGAGGTGCGTCGGAGAGCAAGAAAGGAGAGTAATGTAAGGCCTCAGTCCAGTTAACAGGTCAGTCCTGTCCAACAGGCGCAAAAAGTCATGACCCTCATCGATTCAGATCTTGGCGATAGACAAGCTACCATCTGCCAGGTGCCAGCCCTGAAAACCTCAGGTACCTAAGGTACCTACCTACCTAGGTCACCTTGAGGGACTTGGTCCTTGGGGCAGCTTCAAGCAACAACAGGCGCAGTGCCACCCCCTGGCAGGAAGCAGCGCCCAAGCACATGATTCACAGCCAGAGGTCGATGACAGGGCAGGCAGGAAGGAGTCCCGGCGCAGAGGGCAGCAGAGAGGCAGGTGCCGCGTGCCCCACCTGTGCGCGTCATCCCAGAGTGTGGCCCGTGTCCCGACGACCCCTACATTCCTCCTCCTCCGTTCCATGTCTCGCTCATGCCGCACCCCTGGCGCCCCTCTGGCCCTCCCGAGCGCTGCCCTGTGCTCCAGCAGTCCAGCACCCAAAGGTACAGCACCTCAGCCGCCGACGCTGGTCATTTGGGGCATCCCAATCCCAAAATTCCCCACGTTTCCCAATCCCTCCACCTGAGAGATACCTAACCTTCTTCCATCCTCAAGCCCCTCATCATACCTACCTACCTACCTCCTTACCGCACCGCACCCTTCCTACAATACCTACGTCCACAACTAGGGAGCCGGAGTACAATACCAATCTTCCTAGGCGCCCATCTGAACACATCTAAATCATTTCAAGAGTGGTCTTATATTCCTCCATTTTGGCACACGTCTTTGTCTTCTTGCTTCTATTGCCGATTGCCGCCACCTTTCATCGCGTTTTTGCTTGTTCTCGCAACGTGCTGCGAGACCACACTCCGTTTGCGGCTCGACCGTGATCTTGCTTAAGCCAGGAAACTTCTCAGCTGGCCACCTCGGCATTACTGCTCGCCAACATTCCCAGAATCTGTATTTGCCGTCTGTTCCATCATTGCTAGCCAGCTCAAGCTAATCCTGGCGAGCTTTCGCCCCTCCTTCTGTCCAGCCTCTCGCAACCAGACCCCGATCATCACTCGAATCCTCCTCCCGATCGTCGCCCCCCCCCCCCCCAGAGGGAGGGGGTGGAAAGGAGAGGTAAGGAAAGCAAAACGAATGGAGGGGCAGGGGGGAAGGCAATGAAGA